CTGTGGAGTCTCACCATCCTATAGAACACTCAAGAAACATTCCACCAGGGATGGAAGGGGGCACGTGGGGTGGGACAGGCAGAGATGCAAGCTGCTCTCAAAGCTCCAAGCCCCCAGGAACCCCTTCTAAGCTGCCAGCAGAGTCTCTGGATAAAATCATAACAGGTGGAAACAGCTTCCAGCCTTGCATATCCACACTCTAAACAGAAATAAAAAATCTAACCGTATTTTAGTGTATTGACTCCTCTGGACTCCTTTTCCTTGCTTCCTTGGCTTATAAGACTTTCCTATAAATCACTTCCACATTTAGTGTCACCAGCTTCACAAATTCATTTGTCTTTGCTAAAAGCATCATTGCCTGTGTTGATATCACCTGGCTCTTCAACCCACGTGTTTCTCTTGCATGCTCCTCTTCTGATTTAAACTGCCCAATGACATCATATTTTCAACATTAGGTAATATGAATTTGATTTGCTTGATTTCAGCTTTGCTTTTCTCTCATGCAGAAAGCCAAAAGAATCTTTATAACCCAGATCACTCAGTGATGTCCCATTACATACTTGATAATGGCTTTCCAGTTCCTGAGCTGGTACCTYTTCTTTGCATCTGGTGCCAACCTGAGCTTAATAAACCATTTATTTTTGCAATAGGCAGTACTCCCACATCAYAAAAAAATGCAGGAATCTCATTCTGGAGTTCCTGCTTACTCAACATAATACTTTATTTTCCTTTTGGTTCTCTCCCTTCCATTTGCAAGCTCYGACTCAATGATTTCTTTTGCCTTGATTACCAAACATCACCCTGTACATATGGAAAATTTCATTAACCAGGACCTTTTTTTACTATTCTGCAATTGTAAAAGCTGCAATTTTTGACCACCTCTGAGCTGAGAGGCTTCATTGAAGCTCCTAACCTTATTTTAAAACCATTGCAAATCATTTTTATCTGTTTTAAAGTACAATCTGAAAATCAAGCAGRCCAGCCACACATCACARTTTTTTTTAATTTGCTGATCAGTTYATSTCACTTTGGTCACACTTGTTGAAAGATATGTTTCCTATAGGATGTATTTTCTGCACAAAAACGTATCTGCACGCACTGTTATTACACACCATGGTGCAGTTAGACCCCACCATGCCTGGATGAGTGCTGGATGAGTGGTTTCTCTGCATCACAGCCAGTGCTGTGAATCTGGCACTGCTCCTTCACCCTGGCATTGCCACAATGAACTAAATAAATGTACACATTGTTTTATTTGTCTGCTCAGCACCTAAGATTTCATGTGTTCCTCTTTAGGTCTCTTCCTTACCTTCTGGGTGTTGGGGGCAAGGTCCTCACGGGTTCTTTTCCTCCTTGCTTAGGGTTAGGCCACCTTTTGGCATAAATTCAGGGCAAAAACACTGAAAGGAATGCAGGTCAGTACAAGCATTTTGTTTCACTGTTTCCCATCTCCAGCATCAGCTGCCTCCCAAAAGCTCTCAAACTCCCTTCAAGGGCTGARTCTCACTGACAGGAGTAACACAAATTCAGCATTGACAATCCTGAATCACCAGAAAAAAATGTAYATTTTCAAACCACGCAGTTTTTCTAAAGCATAGCTCTTAATTTTAGTGCAGCTGGGGTATAATTTTTGTAGGACTGRCATTTCTCACTGCTACCCTTGCACYGGATCAACTCATCTGAAATAGATGACATCCATCTATTTTCACTTGCAATAGTATTACTCACACTAGAAAAGCTCCTCTGTAAATAGCACCTCAAACACTGACAATTGACTTAGAACGAGATGGCCACTCAGAGGTGAAAAAGCCATCCAGGATAATTTCTTTTTTCCCCCAATTGCAGAGGAAATATATGTGCACACCATAATCCCATCTATCTTACAAGAATGCTTTAATTCAGGAAGAGAAATAGCTTTGAACTTTCATGCTGAGAAATACTCAGGCACAGGAAACCTCCAGCTTAACTCCCCTGAACTCCACAGGCACACAGAACCACAGCCAACACTCATTTTTCACACCATCCTGCACATCCCAAAACACTTCCCGGTGATGCTGRAGGCTTTGTTAAGGATTGATGTGGGTCTGCTCTCGGGCTCATCTGAACTCCCCTCCACCAGTCTGCCAGCTTGGCTTCTGACACAAACGTGGGTATGATTTTACTGAATGAAATTTTGGATCCTGCTGAACCAGTTCTGAGCAGCCCAGGCAGAAAGGAGACGGAACTGACCGTTCTCAGGGACAGTCTGGAGGCACTTTTCAAATGTCAGAGATCCAATTCCCTTGCTCCCTGTGACACTCAASACTCAAGCAAGATGTAGTTAAAAGAAAGGATGCCCCAAAGGCAGGCAGCTGGTTAGGTCTGTGTTCCTTTAATACTGAGAACAGATTTTTTGAGACTCAGGCCCAGATTATGCACTGCTTCTAGCTATGAGTAGTATAAAACAAAGTGACATTCAAATGAAAAAACCAAAACAGTTATGGTTACAAATTGCCTTTTAACTATGGGTATAAAAACAAATATTTCTTTTGCTTAGTCCTCACATTATCTGCTCAGWCCCTGGTCAGGTKGTAAAACTGCAGTGATGGGACAGCCTGAGATATCAGCAAAATAATCAAGTAAAGAATAAACTCTAAAGGAGGGGACAATCACTTTTTGTCATCAGTAGAATTAAAATACTTCCAAATTCAAAAGACAATTCAGTAATTCCTGCTGACATTACTAATTAATTAATTTATTAATTAGTAAAAGTGCATTGCCCAGGACCCCACAAGAGGTATTTCCTTCTAATTTTGGGAAAGTGCTGGCCGTAGTTTCTAACAAATACTGTTTTTGTATGAAAACATGCACAAGAGGTGACTTCTACCCTGCAAACCACAGATGAAATCTGTGTGGCTAAGAATGAGCTAATCAGCTATTTAATACAAATATGAGTAAATGGCCAAACCTGTGTTCAGGTTGAAAAATCACCTCTCCAGCCTGAAAATTTACTTTAAATTAAAGACATACTTGGTTTTCTTTAATCCTTACCTTAAYAGGTAAGTTTACCCTTTAAATCAGTGCTTACCTGAACATATTTTGGTGATTCTCTAATTCTAATTTCACAGACATTAAATAAGGATTTCCTATTTTCAATTTAGAGATACAGAAACAGTAGCAAAGCCCACACATTCCAGCACCTGGATGAATATTTTGCATAATATTCAGGCAAGAAAGCAAGTCTGCATATTTAACACTGCTAAAGGGAATCCCTCCAAACCACTGCAAAAAAGCTCTGGATTACATCAAATACATTTCCAATTCTTGCCCGAGGGAAAGCAGATTTGGAGTTAATCAAACAGCAATCAATCAATTGCATTATTAGAAAACAGGATTTTTCAGCTCTGGTTTAAACTCATGAAAAGATCCAGGTCTCTGCTTTGTTTGAGYGATGGTGTGATCTGCTGCAGCACCTCCAAGCCTTTCCTCAYGGGAGKGGATTTACACCAAAAAAACCCACCAGRCACTCAAAATAAAGAGCWTTGGGATGGGTAAATGAGTAGGGAWGAYRYGAGRAGTTGTTTGAAGGAAATTAGAGAAGAGAGAAGGCACTGTCAGAGGGTTTGTGTCTATTCTGGAAAMGTGTCCAGCCCTGCAGAACCTGTGGCTGCAACCACAGAACCACCTGCCAGGCAAACTCAATTTCAATCAGAGCACTTAAACAAAACAACCTCATGTACAAATTCAGGAATAAAAAAAATTCAAGTGTAAGGCGCTGCCGGGGCAAAGATTTGGCTCCCGGTCAGAAATCCACCCATGAGAAATCAGTGAATCCCTCGCACTGCACAGCTGAAGTGTGCAGTAGAAATCTTAAATGACAGATAGATGGTTTTGGGAACCTTATTTTAGGGTTTTTGTTTGCTTGCTTGTGTTTTTTTTTCACTGGACACGATTTTTGGGGTAGTTTGTCTGTGTGTTGTCAAGCTCCTGATGATGGTTTCATMAAAAAGACCCCAAATTTGACCCTTTTAATCAGCTTATTGATATACGTTCTTTTYGGATACACCTAAACCTGTGCATGGAAGACCATCCATGGGCAGTTAATARCAAAAAATAATCCTGTTAGCACCTGCAAGTAATTTGCAGATTACATGCAACACCAGCAGTACAACAACACCTCCCCGGACAATGACAGTTGACTCAGAATTATTGCAAACTTCTAACCAGTAACAGAGAATTGCTGCATATGAAGCATTCAGACACCCCACATCGGATATTTTTAATTCTTTTTTCTTTTTTAAATTTATACTACCAKGAATCTTCCTTACACCAATTTAAATTTCAATGAGCTCCAAAGATGCACCTTAAAAAGAACAGGAGCTTGTTGGCAGGCACATTTTTCCGCTGGCAGAATATGTTCCTCAAACAATTATGTCTTATCACAACACTCACTTAAAATTTTACATCAAACTGTATCATGGGGCCCTTTTAAAAACCCCTCATTAATGATGATTATGTAAGTACCATTAGATGTGAGACATTCCCATATTGCTCGTAGGAGTTATGATTTAATTCTGTTAAAATCTACTCTACCATTTGTGTAATCACTCCTGACATTTTACCTATTGTTTTGTAAAACTTTATTGTCTGTCACAGGAAAAAAAAAAAAAAAAAAAAGAAAAAAGAAGCTGTTTTGGTCGTCACTGCAATCTGATTGAAAAGATGTTATTAATTAAATCTTGTACACAGATATACCTGAAATCTCACTGACAGCTCTTTGGGGAAGATACATTACTGGAAGACATTTGTTGTTTGAGGACTGATAGTCCTCCTCAAGTTAATATTGTACCACAAATATAACTGTATTATAATATAATGTATATATATACATTCTCCTGAGCAGAGACAACATCCATCTCACAAACAAAGAGGAGTATTCTCCTAAACTATTATAATAAACATTGTTTTCTTCCAGCATTTTTATTTTAGTGCCCACATGTTTAGAAGGAGCAGGGAATTTCATCAAGAAAGTAATTTGGAAAGTTCTTACCTACCTTGGTCACAYAGGACACAGGGAATTAAGTTTTCCTCCAAAATGGGCTCTTTGAGCTGGGGCTTCTGAGTGCTCTGAAGGTAAATGTGATGTGACTAGTGATCAAATCCCTTCATGAGGAAAAGCTCATCACACTCAGGGCAACTGCTTAAAATGCAACATAAACAGGTCTGTGTCAATATTTTGACTTTGTGTAAACAATTCAAGCTGCACCACTCTGGAGATAATGGCACGTAATGCTGTTATAAAATCATCTTGAAAGGGTTTTACTGAATTAATTTGCATTTGAGCTCKGGAAGAAACTTGGCCTGCAGTGGAAAAGTGTGAACTCCTGTTAAATATGATCTTAACAAGGTCTGGAGCCTTCTGAAAGTATCCTGGGAAAGGGCTTCACTACTGCAGAATAAAGGAAAAGAATGATTTTCAGAGCCTGCACTGTCTTTAATCCATTACAGAGCTTCAGAAATTGGTCAGTGTGACAGGCTGGAATATAAGATTTTGTCTGAGTATAAATTACATATTTCTTACTCCAATGCTACACCTCTGGGCAAACACTTTTTCTCCTTTTTTGCAACACTGTGAGTTCAAGCTGGAAAGGACATTGATCACTGTTTTAGAGCCCTGCTAATAAAACTAAGGGAAAGCAATCTGTACATAGGAGTTTATTTAGATGCCCACAAATTTTAAATCATTCCCCTTCATATCTCAGCCCACTGGGTATCTTATCCAACCGAATTACCATTGGGTTTTACAATGTGATATACAAAATGAGCTGACATTATGATTTACAAACATCCTTKGAGTATCATATAAAACACAACTCTTCCCCTTATTATACAATCATCAGGGCAATGCCAATGGAGTCAATACATTAGTAGCTGAAAATGATGGGGCATTTTAAGAAAATAAATTTAACTTTACCACACAAAGCTGTTAACTAAAACAAAACCTGTTTAAAAAATGGGAATAAAGTTATCTGAATGACTGAAAGTAATTTTATATTGTTTGCCAGTGTCCCTTCATAAACATAATTGTACTTCATTTAAAAGACAACTATTTTTTTTACTGAATAGTCACTTCTTTCTTATTAATCATTTTCACATTTTCTGCATGAAACTATGAAAAACTCACAAATGTACTTTCAAACTGTAGCCACTATACTTATTTCTGCAATCTTTTCCATAAATTCAGTGTGTTTAATGAAATAAACAAAAAGGAAAAAACACTACACAAATGAGCAGAACAAAACACAACAGCACATTAAAAATGTGACATTTAAGCTGTAGATGCATCGCCATAGAAATATATTCTTGTTCTAACGCCACAAACTTTCTAGCCTCATGAAAAAAATCGACATGAAAAAAATTTCTAATCAGTTGAAGAGGATCTAACCTCTAACCTGCATTTAGGGCTGAGTTTTGATTTATTTTTCTGTCTAAACTGAGGTCCTCAATGAAGTAAATTTAAGTAGTTTTGAATGCCATAAAATAAGAAAAGATAAAATCTGTTTCAGAGCTGTTCATTAGGCAATGGAAGTTCCCAAGCATTAAGGTCTCCTGTCCTCTGTGTCACTGTGGCAGCAGTAGCTGAGGATGACAGACACCATTCTTACTGTAAATACAAAAGAGGAAAAATTCTGAACTCATCGATGATGGTACAAATACAAGCAAATTCTAACCTAGTCAACTCAAATTATGTCGTCTTAAGGGTTGCTGACTGTTTTAGCGCTGTGTAATCCAGAGGAATTGTACTCAACAGAATGCTGGCAATGACTGGTGATTCCTTCCTGTGTGCAATTGCAGTGGGATGTGGTTTTAGTTCAATTTCTCACTATAGGAGTCTTTTTGCTGCTCTGCATGTTTGGAGAAGAAAGTGCTTATTCTGCCATTTCCTTCAGTTCATGGCATTKTATTTTACAGTTTTTTAAAGACAGACTTATTTTGATTACTTTCACTCTGTCCATACCTTTGAATGCTTTAAAACATTGGACAGCTGTGAAATATAAGTACTATGCAATTTGACTGTACATACATACATATTTTCATAAATACATCTAACAGGGACCTTGGAACCAAGTGTGTGATATCATGGGACAAAATCACGACAGGCTGTCTTATCTGTAAAATCTAGATCCAAAGTAAGAAGAGCTGAATTCTATCAATGCTGTCAATACACAAATTAAAAMCAAAAAATACAGCATCGGTTTACCCATGAAATAACTTAAGATCTGCAAAATGTCTTGACAGGAAAGGTGTGTCATTTTACAACACTGAAAACTTGTAGCAACCACCGATTTCCACGCGCTGCGCTGGGAGTCACCCAAGGATGAGCAGAGCGATGGGTCCCAAAGGCAACTCCCAAACATCTTCCTCGCCTGCAGACTTTGGCAACTGTCTGCTGTGTAAAATAACAACACACACAGATTCCTGTCGGTGTGGACTCCAGCAGCTCCCCTCCCTCRGCACAGTCCGCTCAGTTGTTGTTGAGACACTCTAAATCCACCGAGCAGCACACGTTCCCGTTCTGCACAGACAAACAGGCACAGGGTCACAACTGGCACCGACAGAGATGTGTTCCTGACACACCCAGAACCCACAAACAGCTGCCCCCAGCCCCTCGGAGGAGGCTGAGTTTGTCAAACAGCACCAAACAGGTCCAAGCTACCACAGAACTCCAAACCCGCGTGTGGCCCCCAGAATAAAACACAGCACAGCGATGGCAACAGAGAGGATTGGATTTTTCTCTCATGCAAAGAGAGAATTTTGATGTGATCCACGTGGGGAAACTTTCTGCTTCTCTGACATTAGCAGACAGTTCAGGTTCTTGGTTCATGGCACATATGGAGGGGATGGGGACAACGTACATATCATACAGCTTTGGAATTTAATTTTTTAATTTATCTTTTTCTAACATCCAATCATTCATAAGGTTACCTTATGTGACAAAAAATACAGCAACTTTTAAAAGCCCAAATAAGAAATTCTTTTATACTCTTCTTTTTTTAATCCATCACAAATCTACAGAAAAAAAAAACTTTAAAATGATGGCTGAAAAGCTACCTTCAACAATTTAAAGCCCTGGAGCAATAGCCTGCTCTCCCACAGTGAACAGAAGAACGTTTTATATAACCCAAAACAACATTTTCATAATTCTGATATTAGCACAGTGGGGTCATCACTGCACAAAGCAAGGGAATAGGCTGCACTCCTGCATGAGAGCCATTGGATTAAACACATCTTGATGAGATCAGGGAACAGCAACCGTGACATTCCCTTCCCATCACCATTGTGGGAGTGCCTTTATCTCTGAGCTGCAATGCCTTTCTGCTTGCTGGTGAAACTTTCCTGTTAGTGTTTTTGCCTCAGCTTACCAGCTCTGGAACACACATTTTCATGAACATCCACACGAGGTAATTATTGAAATGTTACCCTTGACTCACGCTGAGAATGCCTGAAAGGCACTCCAACAGAACGTCTGGAAGTTGCATGGGGATATTAACATATCTGTGCTCAACATTTTCAACAAGGAGAGATTCGTTTCGCCCACACTTTGCCAGACAGAAAAGACCTGGGTTTTCTGCAGGCTCTCAGGTCTCATTTCCTTCCCCAAGATCTCAGTGTGACTCTCCAAGGG